TTGATGCTTTTGAACTGTGGTGTTGGAGAAGACTCTTGAGAGTTCCTTGGACTGCAAGGAGATCCAACCAGTCCATCCTAAAGGAAATCAGTCCTGAATATTCATTGGAAGGACTGATGCTAAAGCTGAAGCTCCAATACTTTGGCCGCCCAATGGGAAGTATTGACTCATTAGAAAAGACCCTGATGCTGGGAAAGATTGAGGCAGGGGGAGAAGGAGATGACAGAGGACAAGATGGTTGGATGGCATGATCAACTCAATGGACATGAGTTTGAGCAAGCTCTAGGAATTGGTGACTGACAGGGAAGCCTGGCATGCTGCAATCCATGGGGTTGCAAAAAATTGGATATGACTGAGCGACTGAACTGAACTGAGGCAGTCATATTCTAAATGAAGGATTGACAAACTGGAGCCGGAGTCCCAAATCTTTCTATTGCCTCTTTTTGGAAATAATACTACGTAGGATGGCTTAGTTCCTCAAAAAGCCTTGGAGAAAATGAGGAGATATTGGTCAAAGAGTAGAAACTTCCAGTTATATGATGAATACATTTTGGGAATCTGAAGTACAGTATGGTGATTACAAGGAATAATACTTACTACATGAAAGTTGCCACAAGAGTAGATCTTAAATGTTCTCACAACAATAAAGAAATAGTAAGCATGTGACAAGATGCCCATGTTAGCTAATGCTATGGTAGTAATAACTTGCAAATAAGAAATTAAATGATTATACCTCAAATTTATACAATGTTACATGTCAATTGTATGTCAACAAAGCTAGGAAAAGGAGTCTTAGAAATTATGGTTAGGATTAATTCTGATCCTAAGATAACAGAAACAGTCTTTTCCAAGAATATCAGTTGATCTAAGTAGAAAAGGCTCAGCAGAAAAGATTTTTCTTGTCAACACCAGGGTAGCTAAGTGTCCTGGGCTGGATAGACCTTTTTTGGTTTTTCTTTATAAGTAACATTACTGATGCCCCAAAGGATGGAAACCTCAAAGGACCTGAGGTTTTTCAAATCGAAGCCTAATATGTTCTTTTCTTCCAGTTGGAGAAACATCCCTACACTCACTGTGCATATCCAGATCTCCCTCCCGTGTGCACCGGCCCCTTCCCCAAGAGGCTCGATGCTAGAAGATGTTAAAAATAGCCTTTGTTCACCAGTGGCTAGGCGCCTTAGCCAGGCGATAGTCCCCCCAGACCACCCTCCCCCACAGTGCCCAGGGCTTCCTATTCCCATCACTGTCTTACATTTCTCATGTCATTTGATCCATGGATGTCCTACCTTCTCGATTGTTCCACTACCTCTGGATATACTTGGATTCATTCAGCATCTGTACACTCCTTTGAGCACCTGTTCTGAGCTGAGCACAGCATACTCAAAGGTGGCTTCAGCAGGAGATGGGAATCCCTTTCAGCCAAAAGCATCCCTGGAAGGGAAGCCACGAGCCAGAGAAGCTGAAAACTGGTGACTTAGGGTGGACTACAAGGATGGCTGCAACCACTTCTTAGGCGCTTGTGTTCAGCATTGAGCTTGAGCCACAAACATTGTTGATTCCACTGTGTATTTCAGACATAGTTTAACCCACTTCCGTGAGTCATACTTGGGCCACTTATAGGCTGAAAAGTCTTGGTCACTTCATCACCCCACCTCTCTCATTTCCTGAATCTTGTGAAACTATCTGAGTCCCACAGAGTAACTTTATTTCACTCCTACAAGCCAGAGCAGGAAGAGGTATTTCCACACGTCCCATTTAGGCCAGCTGCCTCCAATTCTGTCCTCAGATTCGTCCCTCGACTTGGGGTACTGGAGGGCTCCCCATGGATCTGCCTTATTACCATGGCCCTCTGTCCAAGCGAGACTGTGAGACCCTGCTGCTCAAGGAAGGAGTGGATGGCAACTATCTGTTAAGAGACAGCGAGTCTGTGCCTGGAGTCCTGTGCCTCTGTGTCTCGTGAGTAGCCTGACCTTCCACGCATATGTTAAGTGTAGGACTGATATCCAGGTGGGAAAGAAACTGTGCCTCACTGACTTCGCAGCCCAAATGAGCAGAATGAGAAATAGCTAGACACTGCTACGAGGGAATGGAAGAAACAAGTCTGTCTAAGCTCCTCCACCTTTCCTTCTCTCCATGAGCAGATCTGTGGAGCAGCAGAAGTGGGGCTGGTGGTGAGGATAAGGCTTCAGGAAGCATAGGAAGGGAGCAGAGAGACAGAGAAGGCAGCCATGTGAGAAAGCTCCTCTCCTACAGAGGCTGATTTATTTAGTACGGGAAACACGACACTTTAACCTGAGAGGCCAAGTTTTTACATGGCTGGCTCTGCTTGTGATTTTTCAGATACTAATAACATTTCAAACTTTATTACATTTGTAAAAGGCTTCAATGGACATTATCTCCTTTCATCCTGCTTGTAGTCTGTCAAGGCTACCATTTTGTAGATGCAGAAACAGACCCTGGGATGTCTAAAACAACTTGATTGTGTTGTAACACATCGGGTGTTTCCAAAGAAGCTGAGTTCCATATGAAAGTTTACGCCAGAGCATCAGAGCTACACTACTGAAGGAAGCTGCTTAGCCCAGTTTATAAACCAACCTTAAACAGATATCAGGGGAAATCTACTATCTTTAAAGGACTCTTCTGTTTGTGGAGAACACTGAACTTTTTCTTTACCTGTTACAAGAATCAAAACCCAAGTGTCTCCAAGGATAAGCTTCCATGCTTCTTAGAACTGGGAGCTACAAGGCCAAAAAAGAGTGTCATTACTGACAGAATAGACAGGGATGTCCTTCTTTCTTTATGTGACACCAGGAAGGCAGCCTTCAGGTGTTAGCAGTTTGAATTCAAGTTACAAGTGATGTTGAGAGTGCTTTCATATATTTCTTAGCCATCACTAATTCTTCTTTTGAGAACTGCATAATGTCCTTTATGCATATCCTTTACCCATTTTTAGCTTGAGTTGTTGTCTTCTTTCTACTGATTTTTTTCAATTTCTGTATATGAAGGTAAAACCTTTTTTTTTTCCCCAAAAAAAGACAAACACAAGAAAACTACAGACCAATTCAAATTTCATTTACTACTAATTTTCAATAAATTATTCACAAAACAGAAGCCAGCAAGACATTAAAGCAGGAAATACACTGTGGTCCAACCTAAGAAACCAAGGATGGCTCCATGTCAGGAAAAGTATCAGTTTAATTGTGTGTTAATAGGTCAGAGGTTGCAAACTGTATAACTCATTCAAATTTGCTTAAAAGGTACTAAATAAAATTCAGCATCTACCGCTCAATTAAACACATACTCATGTGTGCACATGCATGCACTCACTTACACACTCCTAACCATATATAGCTAGATAGATGCTTCCTTAACACCAGATGAAGTGCTAGAAGTATTACCCCTAAAATCATGAATGAGCCAAAGTGATTATAAGCACTATGTTACTATGTAACGTTTTCTAGGAGATATCAGCAAGTGTAACTAATCAAAAGAAATAAATGTAAAAATTGAAAAGGAAGATGCAAAATTATTATTTACAGTTGACTTTATACCTTTGAAATTTAGATTTAACTGAAAAAAAAAAAACTAAAATCTTTAAGAAAATTCAGTAGGGATATCAGCTTTTATAATTGAAATCTAAAAATCAACAGCTTCCATACTGAAATAATAACTAGTAAGAAAATATAATAAAACACCTCATTTACATCAGCAAAAATTAATAGTACCTAGGAATAAATATAATATGAAATGTGCAAACCTAAATATCTACTGGGGAGCTCACTAGAAGACTTAAATGGAAGGAAGAATTCAATTTGGAAGCTTACCAGTTCACAATAATTAATCTATAAATTCAGCATTTTTCTAGCAAAACAAATCAACAGAATCGTAAATTTTCTCTTCAAAGATAGTAAAATTTATCCAGATGGGAAATAAAACACAGGGAACCTGCCAGAGAGCCAGAAAAGTTTTTATTAAAAGAAGGGGGACTAGCTCTACCAAATGCTAAAATACATTACTACAGTAATTACTACAATAATTAAAAGAGTTTGGTACTGAGAGATCAATTAAATATTTGGAATATAGAGTCTGGTAGAAATAAAGCCAAGTACATAAGGAATTTACTTTATATTTAAAAGATCATCTCAAATCAGTGAGGAAAATATGAATGATAATTAACTGTGTTGGGACACTTGGCTGGTCACTTAGAAAAAATAACCTGAATCCCTTTCTTAATTCTTAAAGTTAATTCAAAGTGGTTCTAATACAGAACTTATTTTTTCTAAATGAAACCATGTGTAGTAAAAGAAAATAGGAACTATTAAAAAATATTCCTGGAATTGAGAAAGTCTTTCTAACAAGACATAAAACCAGAAGAAAAAAAAGAAAAGATGGTTAAATATGACCGTTATAATGAGAACAATGACAAAAAACTGTTATTAATGACAAACCAACAGAAGAAAATTAAAAACTTCATTAACATGGAAGAGCTCTTTAAAAACAATAGAAAACTAGACAAAATGCAAGAGGAGGAGATTCTCTGAAATGGAATATGAAAAAGAAAGAATAAGAAAATATTAGATAGCTAAATAAACACAAAAGAATAATGTGATGTCATTTTTACCATTTCAGTGGTCCAGAATTAAAACTGAAAATACCCAGAAGAAATTCAATTTTGGGAAAGTAGAAGTGCTTACACTTGCTAAATGCAACTTCTTTGAATGGTGAATAACAATTCAGTCACTGGGCTTCTCTGGTGGCTCAGACAGTAAAAGCGGCTGCCTACAATGCTGGAGACCAGCGTTCAATCCCTGGGTCAGGAAGATCCGCTAGAGAAGGAAATGGCAACCCATTCTAGTACTCTTGCCTGGAAAATTCCATGGTAGGAGGAGCCTGGTGGGCTACAGTCCACGGGGTCACAAAGAGTCGAATACGACTGAGCGACTTCATTTTGTTTCACTTCCTATTCAGTCACTAAGTCGTGTCCAACTCTTTGAGACTCCGTGTACTGTAGGCCGCCAGGCTCCTCTGTCCCTTGGATTCTCCAGGCAAGAACACTGGAGTGGGTAGCCATTCCCTTCTCCAGGCGGTCTTCATTACTGGGGGATTGAACCCATAGCTCCTGCAGCTCCCACACTACAGGCAGATTCTCTACCACTGAGCCATTGGGAAAGCCTAACATTTGACCGCAAATCTCATTAATAAAAATGCATCTTATCGTTATTACTGCATAAGTATGTACAAATTGGCATTAACAAGATTGAGTAAATCCATAACTGGGCTTCTCTGGTGGCTCAGACAGTAAAAGCGGCTGCCTACAATGCCGGAGACCAGCGTTCAATCCCTGGGTCAGGAAGATCCCCTAGAGAAGGAAATGGCAACCCACTCTAGTACTCTTGCCTGGAAAATTCCATGGTAGGAGGAGCCTGGTGGGCTACAGTCAATGGGGTCACAAAGAGTCGAATATGACTGAGCGACTTCATTTTGTTTCACTTCCTATTCAGTCAATAAGTCGTGTCCAACTCTTTGAGACTCTGTGGACTGTAGGCCGCCGGGCTCCTCTGTCCCTTGGATTCTCCAGGCAAGAACACTGGAGTGGGTAGCTATTCCCTTCTCCAGGCGGTCTTCATTACTGGGGGATTGAACCCATAGCTCCTCAGCTCCCGCACTACAGGCAGATTCTCTACCACTGAGCCATTGGGAAAGCCTAACATTTGACCGCAAATCTCATTAATAAAAATGCATCTTATCGTTATTACTGCATAAGTATGTACAAATTGGCATTAACAAGATTGAGTAAATCCATATTTAATATGGAAAAAATTCCAAGATCTATTGTGAAAAAGGCAAGATATTAAGTATGATCCCATTTGTATAAAAAGAAAGAAAAAAAAGGATGCCTATATCCCTGTATATCCATAAACACTTTTTGAAATGTGTATTAGAAATTCACAATATTGGTTACAGCTGGGAAATTTAGGAGGAATAAATGAGGAAGAAAAGTTTGTGGATTCATTCTTCTTACTGGATAACATTTTCTCACTGTTTAAATAGTTTATATGTGCAGATATTACTTTGGTGATTTTTAAAAATGTTTATAAAAATGTAGTGAGTCCCTACTATCTAGGCAAACACTGTGCTAAGGCCCTGGGGGATTCTAAGGTGATTCCAATAGACAACTTACAATTTTTTCAACATGTAAATAAATAAAATAAGGGTAAAGTATAAATTTCAGAAGAGACAGTTTTATACAAATTTAAAACGAGAGGAGATGATCAGTAAAGTCTTCTTAGAGGAGGTGGTATTTGAGTTGGGACTTAAAAGAGTAGATAAGATTTAGTTACACAGAAATGAGATGGAAGGCATTGTAGGTTGGGGGAAAGGCAGGAACATAAGTCCAGAAAACGGATATTTTAAAGCATATAGGAATCACACAGGGTTCTAGAAAGGTAGTTTGGAAACAAATCAAAGTCAGTTTGGAGTAATATTATGGGTCTTAAAAGAATGACTCTGTAGTTGATGGGGAAACATGGATGGTTTCTGAGAAAGGAAATGACAAGACTGGTACTGAGTTTTGGAAACTTCAATCTAATAAGGATAATATACTGAAGCTGGCAGATAATGATGGCAATAGAGACTGCTGTGTCTCTAGATGGGAGATGGTGAGGCACTTGCTATGGTGGGGCAAGCAGTGGGAATGGAAATTAGAAGAAGGTGCAAGGGGGACTTCCTTGCTGACACAGTGGAGAAGAATCTGCCTACCATTGTAGGAGACATGGGTTCGATCCCTGGTCCAGGAAGATTCCACGGGTCGTGGAGCAACTAAAGCATGCACCACAGCTGCTGAGCCCATGCGCCTTGAGCCTGTGCTCTGCAACAAGGGAAAGCAGCTCAGTGAGGAGGCTGAGCACCGCAAGAAAGAATAGCCCCCACTCAGTACAACTTGAAAAGGCCCATGG